TGAACTGCGCAAAGGACACAAAGGTTCTATACCCACATATCTCAATAAAAACACTGAATTTAAATGGGTCGAATGCTGGGGCGCCTGGGTGGCTTAGTCGGTTAAGCGTCCGACTTTCGCTTAGGTCATGATCTCGCGGTTCCTGGGTTCGGGCCCCGCGTTGGGCTCTGTGCTGACTGCCAGCTCAGGGCCTGGAGCCTGTTTCGGTCTGTGACTCCCTCTCTCTCTGGCCCTCCCCTGCTCACGCTGTCTCTCTCTCCTGTAAATAAATAAAACATTAAAAAAAATTTAAATGGGTCGAATGCTCCAATCAAAAGACATAAGGTAGTAGAATGTATAAAAAACAAAATCCATCTATATGCTCTCTAGAAGAAACTCATTTCAGACTGGAAGATACCTTCAGATTAAAAGTACGGGAATGGAGAAATATATATCATGCTACTGGAAATCAAAAGAAAGCCAGAGCAGCTATACTTATGTCAGACAAACTGGACTTTAAATTAAAGACAATCACAAGAGATGAAGAAGGGCATTACATAATAGTTACAGGGTCTATCCATCAGGAAGAACTAACAATCATAAATGTCTATGCACCGAATATGGGAGCACCTAAATATATAAAACAATTAATCACAAAGAGAAACAAGATCATAGATAAGAATGTGCTAATAGCAGGGGACGTCAATACTCCACTTACAGCAATGGATAGGTCAACCAGACAGAAAATCACTAAAGAAATAATGGACTTGAAAGACACTTTGGACCAGATGGATATGACAGTTATATTTAGAACTCTATATCCTGAGGCCAAGGAATTACTTTCTTCTCAAGTGCGCATGGCACATTCTCCAAGATAGATCACATACTGGGACGTAAAGCAGCCCTCAATAAATATAAAAGAATGGAGATCATACCATGCACACTCTCAGATCATAATGCTTTGAAACTTGAAATCAATCACAGGAAGAAGCCTGGAAAACCCCCAAAAACATGGAGGTTAAAGACCACCTTACTAAAGAATGAATGGGCCAATCAGGCAATAGGGATGAAATTAAAAAATATATGGAAAAAAACGAAAATGAAAACACAACAATACAAAATATATGGGATGCTGCAAAGGTAGTCCTAAGAGGAAAGTACATTGCTCTCCAGGCTAATTACAAGAAACTAGAAAAAGCTCAAGTCCAAAATCTAACAGCTTGCCTAAAGGAACTAGAGGCAGAGCAACAAGAACGCCCTAAACCCAGTAGAAGAAGAAAAATAGTAAAAATCAGAGCAGAAATAAACAACATAGAGACCAAAGAAATAATTGAACAGATTCATGAAACCAAGAGTTGTTTTTTTTAAAAAAAATAAACAAAATTGACAAACCTCTAGCCAGGCTTCTCAAAAAGAAAAGAGAGAGCACCCAAAGAGACAAAATCATGAATGAAAATGGAATTATTACAACCAACCCCTCAGAAATACAGGCAATTATCAGGGAATACTATGAAAAACTATATGCCAACAAATTGGACAACTTAGAAGAAATTCCTAAACGCACACCCACTATCAAAATTCACACGGGAAGAGGTAGAAAATCTGAACAGACCCATAACTAGTGAGGAAATCGAATCAGTGAACAAAAATCTCCCAACAAATAAGAGCCCAGGACCAGACGGCTTCCCCGGGGAATTCTACCAGGTGTTTAAAACAGAATTAATACCCATTCTTCTCAAGCTAATCCAAAAAATAGAAATTGAAGGAAAACTCCCGGATTCATTTTATGAAGCCAGCATCACTCTGATTCCCAAGCCAGACAGAGACCCAGCAAAAAAAGAGAACTACAGGCCAATATCCTTGATGAATACTGATGCAAATATCCTCAACAAATTCCTTGCAAGTCGAATTCAACAGCACATTAAAAAGAATTATCCACCAAGATCAAGTGGGATTCATTCCTGGGTTACAGGGTTGGTTCAACATTCGCAAATCAATCAATGTGATACATCACATCAATAAAAGAAAAGGTAAAAACCATATGATCCTGTCAATAGATGCAGAAAAAGCAGTTGACAAGACACAGCACCCCTTCTTATTAAAGACTCTAGAGAAAGTTGGGATAGAAGGAACCTACTTAAACATCATAGAAGCCTAGCAGTGCTATTGCTTCAAACAACGGAATGGGAAAAGATAGTTGCAAATGACATGTCAGACAAAGGGTTAATATCCAAAATCTATAAGGAACTCACCAAACTCCACACCAGAATAACAAACATCCCAGTGATGAAATGGGCAGAAGATACGAACAGACACTTCAACAAAGAGGAATCCAGATTGCCAACAGACACATGAAACGATGCTCAGCATCCCTCCTCATCAGGGAAATACAAATCAAAACCATACTGAGATACCACCTCACACCAGTGAGAG